GAGAATCATTAGTGCATTGTAGATATTGTTAAGGAGTAATTTAATTTCCTGGTCAAGAAGTGTTTTTAGGAAGATCTAGCCAAGTTTATTTTTCAATGAATACTAGTGTCAAGGTCAGAAAATCTTGTAATGGCAAAAGTTCCAGCTAACATAACATTAAGAAGGAGTTGTCACTAACGAAAGCAACAGTTAAGAAGTTAAGAAGATTATGCTATCACACTAGTTTTCACATCAAATCCATTTTTATAATTGCTCAACAACCACTAGTCTTCTCCGCATTACTAGGTAAGTAAGTAAGTTCATTTCTGATGACTTCTTCTTGAAACTCCTGTTTCATGCAGTTCCTAGAGTTCTGTGCAAGGTCTCCTTGATAAACAGTCAGCATTCATTACAGACAGATATCACATCAAGAAAGGGCAGAATGGAAAACCAAAGCTGTTACACATTGATCAACTAGCATAATAGCATCATGCTATTATAAGCAGGAGTGCTACCAAGCCTGGGCTGACGCATCAACGTCCCGGGATGTAAACACCAGCGCTCTAAAAAAGAAGCGTCCAACTCGACTCTCGATGACGGGGTGAGTACGCCGCCGACCATCCCGCGGTGTGAGTGCTCCATGCCGGAAGTGCAGTTTACACAGCGCTCGGTTCGCAAAGCACTCCTCTCCCTGGACATCCACAAGTCGAGTGGGCCTGACGAAACCCCCCAATTGTGCTGAGGACGTGTGCTCCAGAGTTGACACCGGTTTTAACGCGTCTTTTCCGGTACTCCTACTCCCTTGGCGTAGTCCCAAAATCATGGAAGACGGCTTTCGTCCACCCGATCCCTAAAAAAGGCGACCGCTTAGTCCAACTACCGGCCTATAGCCATCACCTCCTTGTTCTCCAAAACAATGGAATCTATTGTTAACTGCCAGCTTATGAGGTACCTTGAGGATCACCAGCTAATTAGTAATCGCCAATACGGTTTTCGCCGTGGTCGGTCAGCTGGTGATCTCCTGGTCTACCTAAATCACAGATGGGTGGAGGCAGTAGAGTCCAAGGGGGAGGCATTGGCCATTAGTTTGGACATTGTGAAGGCCTTCGATCGGGTTTGGCGCAAAGCACTTCTTTCGAAGCTCCCTTCCTATGGGCTTCCCGAGAAATTGTGCGATTGGATCACCAGCTTTCTTGCAGATCGGAGCATCAAGGTCGTTGTAGACGGTGCAAGCTCCAATTACAAGCCTATTAATGCTGGTGTTCCACAAGGTTGTGTGCTATCGCCAACACTGTTTCTTCTGCATATCAATGATATGTTGCAAGCCCGTAACATTCATTGCTATGCAGATGACAGCACTGGTGATGCTCTTTATACCGGCCGTGCCAATATTTCTCGGGAAAACGTCTCCGAGTACCAGGACAAACTTGTATCTGAAGTAGAGTCTTTGCTGAACAGGGTCTCAGATTGGGGGCGACTAAATCCAGTCCAGCTTAACCCCCAAAAGACACAAGTTTGCGCGTTAACCGCTAAAAAGAACCCCTTTGTCGTATCTCCTCAATTTCAAGGCACTCCCCTTGTTGCTTCAGCCAGTATCGGAATCCTCAGTATCGACATATTGAGTGACATGCAGTTTCGTGGTCACTTGGAAGAGAAGGCCAAATTGGCCTTTAAAAGGCTTGGCGTGCTCAGCAGAGTGGGATAGTATTTCATGCCGGCACACCGCCTGCAACTTTACAAGGCGCAGGTTCGGCCGCACGTGTAATACTGTTCTCATCTCTGGGCTGGGGCTCCCCAGTACCAGCTCCTTCCACTTGACCGCATCCAGCGCAGAGCGGCTCGAATCGTCTACGATCGAGTGCTTTCCGATCGGCTTGATTCACTGGCGCTGCAAGAGATGTTGCATATCTTTGCATTTTCTTTGGCATATTCCATGGGGAGTGCTCTGAGGAATTGTTCGGATTAATCCCAGCCGCCAAATTTCGTGAACGCACTACGCGGCAAACGTCCCGATACCATCCACACCATCCGGATGCTTGGCGGTCCATCATAGTACATTTAAAAAGGAGTTTTCTTCCGCATACAACATCTCTGTGGAATAGTTTACCACCGGCGATTTTTGCGGACTGATATGACCTGGAGACCTTCAAGAAAAGGGCTTACTCCTTTCTAAAGGGCCGGCATCTGCAATTCCCCTGATGTTGCAGTTGATCATGGGCGGCGGTAGTCACTTAACATCAGGTGAGCCGTATGCTTGTTTGCCCCCTCTTCTATAAAAAAAAATATAATATCAACATGAATTGATTATTATTGGGGACAATCATATTTAGGAAGGAATAGTGTTACAACAGCCAGTTGAGTGTTGCATGATATTGTTCCTAAAGATACTAGCATACTTCTAGCAATCGATCTTCAACATCTACAATTATTAAGGACCTCTCCCATAGAAGCTTTGTGATTTTGGATGACATCATTCTACACTTACTGTGTGCATGGAAGTATACATACATTTTTCATTTCAATCTGTATTTTAATATAAAACGTTATTAAGCCTGTTAAAACAGAGTACACCACAAGTATGTTTAAAGCTATTTTCAACAGAGAAAAAGCAGAATTCCATAAGATGACATTTTGTCAAAGGGAATTTCTATTTACTCAGGTCCAAAATACTGTAATACTAAATAATTCTACAAACCTGTTACCCATATGACCAGGCATTTTAGTACCAGGCCACACACGAGCCTTTTCTCCACCTGCTCCAATGTTACCTGGTCTTCTATGTGTTTTTGTAACACCATGTGATGCTGGCATTCCACTAAATCCCCATCGTTTCATGACACCTTGAAATCCTCTATCTATACTGTAACATTTAACATTTGTTAACATATTTTAGGGTTCTTATATAAATATTTAAATTAGACAAATTTATACTGACGTTTTAGCTCTAACATCAACATAATCTCCAACTCTGAAATGTGTTGCAAACAATGGTGTCCCTGTAGGTAATGCTGAATTAGGTGACACCATGAATCTAAACAAATGACGTTTGGGTAACATCCCAACACTGTTAAAAATTCCACAGTAATCCTTTGTAACTGTACTTGGATCAACTGTTTCTGATCCAACCAATAGGCAACCTAATGTTCTTTTCTCTTTCCAGCATATTTTTTTTGTTCTCATTGGATTAAATTCTTCTGGAGGTATGTATTTTATTACATGATTGTCAACCACCTGTAATTTTTTAAATTAAACTATAAAATTCAGGAAAATTCATGCTATCATTGGTGAACAACCAAAACCATCATACAAAAAAGAAGAAGAATTGGGAAAATTATCCAAAAATTTTCTAAATTATTTTTACAGTCACCTGTAGAAGTGTTGTTTGGAATTTTTTACCATCTTTTGACCATAGAGGATAATTGCCTATTTTACGTGCAATTAAGCCCACTCTACGTGTGAAAGGGGTCCACTGAACAGTATGCTGATCTACATGAGCTAAAGGCGATTCCAAAGCCAACTGTGAATTAAGTTTGTCCTGCTTGATTTCTTCAATAAAATCTCTATTTTCTTGGGTTAACATGTCCTCACTCATCTGGAATATGATAAAAGAAATTTTCAATTTTTAGAAAAGGATACACATCACATTATTAAAACAAGTAATACATACCACTCTTTCTTTGGGCATAAACCAATGTGGTGGTCGGTACTTTGGGGGTTTATAATATGCATTACGTCTTATTGTAACACGATTCACACTGGAAAAAAATGGTTGTAGGATAATGTTAGTGGGCTGTGTAAGAATATTTACTCACACAATTGTGCTGTGGATGTCGCAAGAGGCGACAGAGGAAAAATGAATTGGAAGAATGAATGTGAATCTTCCTGATAACAATTCAAAATAATAAAAAACTGTGGTTGACAACCCGCCTGCCAAGCATTGCAACTATAGAAAAATCCCTCCGGAGGCGATCTATAAGCCAGGCTTTTATAGGCTGTAATGGAGGGTTATGAGTCTCGTGTTTGCTAGACGGATACATTAGAACTACATAGGCTGTCACATGTGTCATAAGTACCTCAATTTACTGAGGGTTGTACATAAAATCTTCATATTAAATGTAGCCATTGTAATATTTTGTTTCTTTGGCTTTCCTAGTTTCTTGTTATCTTTGTCCACGGATCTTCGTCTTTTAATTTTAACTGTTGACTGTTGTATTTTTGAACCTCTATTTTTATTACGTAGGTAAGTTACTATTTACGTTAATACTCTCTATTGAATACCACAGAAGCATAGAACAATATCTTGAGCAAAGAGTAATATATTCACTACGATATAAGAGTCGGTTTTTCCATATTAAAAACAAATGTAATGTTAAATGAACTGGCTTTACGGCTCTGGGTTCTAGGCCTTCTGTGCCTATCATTTCTTTCAAAATCTTTTCATATATTTTTTTCTTCACAATATGCTGATGCGCCACATTGTGAAGTTTTTGACGACAGCTCAACCCAGCGGACTGTTGATGACGACAGCCACTCAAGTTAATAAGGCGCCCAAGCGATCAAATTAACTTGAGGTTTATATCAACATCAAAGCACTTGTTTTGTCGTTTCCTCTAATAGTTCACACGCGCAGACACTTAATTCACAAAATCGCATCACTTATACGAATCAAAATCAACTTCAAACCATTTTTCAAGCGACAAAACATTGGTCGCTTTTATAATTTGCCGTAGGACGGCACGGCACGGCACGGTTTTGCCGTCACGGTTAAATAGGAAAGCAAAATGTATGAAATTGTATGCAGACGTTTTTAATTTATCGGTCACGGCAACGGCAACGGCATCCCGTGAAAGGCAAACGTCAGCCGTGCCGTCGCCGTAGCACACTGCGCTCCCTATTAAACCGTCGCGGCATTATTGAGATTGTATTATGTACGTACAAGAAATGTAGCTGTGTGTGCGGAGCCAGGTAGGCGGCGCGGGCAGCTGCATCACGGCGCCATTTGTGTACGTTGTGAAAGAAAAATGACGTTTAAATACGATATAGTAACCTTACTGGAACTTTTTGAAACAAGACCATTCCTATGGGATAAATCATCGGACGCGTTTATAGATAAAGTTGTTAAACAAAGGGCATGGAACGAGATCTTCCGCTTCTTGGAAGAACGTTATGATGAATTAACTACTGATGAAAAGAAACAAGTTGGTAAGATATTTTTTATTTATCGACTGAATAAAATGTTCAATAGATTATATTTTTTGTAATTGCCAGGGCAGAGATCCAACATTGGAAATAAAATAATTCGCAAAACATGTTCGGACACCTCGTACTGATTTGTATGTTGATTTTGTTTTGCTTGAGGATAAACTGGTCTTGGTTATTTAAGATAACGTAGTCTTTTGCCATATATCCACCATACTCTTTGACAATATTATGTAGTACAACGCAGGCATTTACTATATCCATGCTAAACATTTTCGACACATTTAGTGGCCGATGCAATTGTTTTTATTTGTTGCATAGTATGCTGAATGCACATTCAACGTATTGTCGCGCTCGAGAAAGTCTATAATTAAAGACTCGTTGTTTCACACTCGTTCGTTTTAGAATTTGCTCGTTTTCTGGAAAAGCTGCATCTGCGACAAAAATGTATGGAACTTTCACTTTTTCTGGTGGCAGACTCTAGGGGTTTGGTATTTCAAGATCATGACTATTCAATAGTTTCCAAAAAGTTGTGTTTTGAAAAGTGGCAGAATCACAATCTTTCCCATATGCTCCTCGACATATATAACCTGCAATAAATCTGAAAATGGCGTCCGCTCGCGTGCGTTCTCGCTCACTCTCTATCGCTGTCTATACTCACACAGTGAAATACGCGCTACAAAAAAATAGTCAGTCAAGATTCGCTTTCCACCCTACTTCACGCACTCCGAGTTATCGTTAAATTCGTTCCGTTATTTTGTTGTTTTCGTTGATATTCATTGTTGTTTTTGTTGAGTTTGATTGTTATTTGTTTGCGTTACGTTTGATTGTTATTTATTTTCGTTAAGTTTTTATTACGAACGTTGACATTTTGTGATTGATTGAGCAATGGCTTCACGAAAACGTGGAAAGATTTTTCACAGTGATGCACGTGACATTGTTTACAACGTTATAAAATACTTTGACGAAGAGAAGAACTTGGAGCGTTATCATCCGTTAAAGTATAGCGCCGCACGCGCAGCGATGGCGACTAATTTATCGATGGCTACTATATCGAAAATAAAGAAAGAAGGTAATGACATGGTACCTACACATTTTATTTTACACGGTTGCTTTATGGGCGTGACCAAGATAGATGGATAAATCATTTTATTTGAAGATGATTAGCCTTACCTCTATCGAGTATGATTTTCTATATAGATTTTCTGGCCTGGAAACGAGTGTGGTTTTTATATAAATAGCTTTTGGCCTGGAAACTAGTCCTTTTGGCAGCGAGTATGACTAAGTTCAGTGTCGCTCTATAACGATAACTGACGGTAATAGTAATATTTTACTCTTATTTCAGGTAAACTTGCAGAACAAACCAACACCAAGCTCCGTACGCCGAGTAAGGGCAGAAAAGGCAAAAATAATACGCGTGTCCCCATGGACAACTTCGATATATGTGCCATTAGAAATATTGTGGCCTCAATATACGACGGTTCGAAAGGATGTACCTACGTTGAACAAGATTCTGGCGTCAGCAAAAGCTGAATTAAACTATAAAGGCTCCAAAACGACATTAAGAAAGATTTTAAAAGAAAAGCTCGGATTTAAATTTAAAAAATGCCAACAGAACCGAATGGTGCTCATAGAGCGCGATAACATAAAAGCGTGGCGAGTTAAATATTTACGCCGCCTCTGACAAAATGATGCCATGGGTGCGGAAAAAAAGAAAGTAGTGTATATGGATGAGTCGTGGATCCATGCCCATTATACTGTCAGCAAGTGCTAGCAGTCATCCACCGAAAGAGGCGTTCATATATCCTGGTCAAAGGTGGGTGATGGTTCACGCCGGCTCAGAGGATGGGTTTGTGGAGGGTGCAGGATTATTATTTAAAGCTAAATCAAAAAAAGGCGACTACCATAACGAGATGGATGGTAATAACTTTACGAAATATTTAAAAGAAAAACTAATACCAAATCTGCCTGAAAACTCCATTCTCGTCATGGATAATGCATCCTACCACAGTATGCAGTTGGATAAAGTTCCAACGACTGCAACCCGCAAAGCGGAGATAAAGATATGGATGCAGGAGCACGGTGTCTCATTTGAAAAAGACTGGACCAAAGCAGAGCTGCTCATGCAGCTAAAGAAGCATCGCCCAGAGAAAAAGTATTTGGTGGACGAACTTCTGCGTGAACATGGCCATGAAGTCCTCAGACTCCCTCCTTACAACTGCGACCTGAACCCGATAGAACATGTTTGGAATTTAATAAAACAACGGGTCGCAGATAAAAATGTGGAGCAACACGAAAATAAAATTGAGGAGTTCACAAAAGAGGCCATAGCTTCAATTACGCGAGACGACTGGAAGAAACAAGTAAACCACATCAAAAGAGTCGAAGAAGAATACTGGAATCGCGATGTAGGTAGGGAGAGTGAAATTGAGGACTTCATTATCAGTGTCGGTATGAACAGCGACAGCGAAGATGAAAGTGACGACTATGAAGACCAGGACTGTGAAAGTGACCAGTCCATGGAGGATTATAATCAATTGATGGAGGGAATTGAACCAATTATGAGTTCAGATGACCAGGATACTGCTGGACCAAGCGGTTTATAAAACCTTTTCTCCCCTGTTGGTCGTTTTAAAGCCATAAAAATAAATTAAATTAACTTCAAATTCTCTGTCTGATTCGTACATTTTTATACTAAATCCTTTTCTTGTGTCTTATAGAGAACTAATAATCATTTAACTAGGTAACGCCTGTCTTGTTCAAAAACCAGCGTGAAAAGATCGCACAAAACACGCGTACGCGTCGGCGGCGTCGGTCTAGTGTGCACACCTATCACATACGTCGGCGACGTCTCAGAGTGTGTGCGTCGGTCTAATGTAGTTCCGCCTTTACTTTACTGGCCTAAGGGATAATGACGTGACTTTATATGTATGTGTGGTGGTATTTTTGTAATATGATTCTGATATGTAACAATTAATAAAGACAAATTTTAAAATCCAGTGTCGTATGTACCCTTGCTCCTTATTTATTTTATTAATATTTTTTGACATTGTTTCTACTATTATTAATTAATAATATTAAAAAAAGAACAATTTATAACAAAAAAAGTCAATAAAAAAATAAAAATCGATGTTTGAGAACTTGTTTTGCCAACCGTACCATGTGTACCCGCCGCCATTTTCAGATCTATTCTCTATCTGCGCGGCTTATATAAATTTGTATTCAGAGTCACATTTAGTCATAAGTACAATGGAGTAATAACCTTTGTAATTATAATGCAATGCACCTGTATGTGGAAAATTTTGTACTCTTGTTTCCCGTCGATTGCTCCTAAGCAAAATGGAAAATGAGCATTTTTTTTGAAGCCATTTGCAATCTTTCGCCAGTTTTCTTCTGTGGGTTTTGGTAGATATATCCATATCTTCTGACAAACGTGTCGTATTATTTGGCTGAGAGTTCCAACGCCAATTCGGTAATTGTAGTACATATCCCATAATGTTGAACCAGTCGCCAGGTATCTGAAACAGAATATTCATTTTTTATTAACCCGTTTTACTGGTTTAGGAGACAAAATTACAATGAAATGGATAAATATAAAAGATTCCTTTCTTGAATCCTTAAAAACAAAGTCAGGGTAGGGAGCTAAAAAACATACGTTTATGCCAATCATCTCCAATTTTTGTTAAAATGTAGCCAGAAAGAAAATACTACAGAGTCGCTGAGCAACACTGACAGTTCTGTAACTGGGCAAGACTTCTGCAGCAAATGATAAAACAGATGATGAATATATTGATGACGATATAAATCGTTCACCAAATAAAAAGAAGATTAAGAAAGTAACAATGTCATCAAGAAAATTAGAAAACATTGAATCGCAAATAATTGAAGAATTGAAAAAGACAGAGACACATACGTCTCCTGACGATAAATTTTTTACATCCTTTGTTCCATATTTAAGCGATATGTCAGAGTGAGAAAATTGATTTACATAGGGATATTTTAAATTCCATAAAAAATGAAACAAAATCGAGTTCAGGCAAGAAGTAACCTGCTACTACTTATCCATCACCAAATCCACTATCTAAATCTAAAGCTAACATTGAAAGGCAATGTTATAAGGAAAACAAACAAGACCCAGTGCAAAGATAAAATCTGCAAACGCCTTTTGTGATAAAAACTCCAAAGCCATCTTCATCCAAGTCAGTGATTATTATGTTTAGTAAGATAACAGTCATTGTATGACTCAAACACGTCACTAACATCTTTTTTTTGTAATGTGTTACGTAGTAATTTATGTGTGATTGTTAAGTAAGAATATAACATGAAAGGATCTCACCGGGATGGAATCCATATTTTCCTATGTCTCTAATCGACGACTACTGACGAAACCCTGAACTAGCACTAGCTAGTTTTGACGCAGGTTAGGTTGGTGCTGGTGCTGTCACCAGTTATTAACAATGCCGGATGCTCCTTGATGCTCGTCTGTGTCTGTAGACGACACGGCCGCCTGTTAGTTTAAGATTGCATGCGCAGTTACGACGTGCCCGTCGTAACTACTTATGCGGGACTTTACGGGGCCGGCCCTAGTGACTGACAACTTTCTTCAAGAGGTATCGGTAGTTATAGAGTACTCTATAAATATCGTAGGGCACACTAAACTTGTGGTCCAACAAAGTATGGTTTCTGGGGTTATTTTTTTATTAAGGGGAAATAATAAAAATACTACCTCAAATGGCTTAGCAAGATCCTCAGTTATGCCCAAAATATTGCAGCATTAATTTTGAAATAAATATATGGTAAAGTTGAGGATTAATGTTAAGTACAATGTTAGACGAAAATATGATTACGTAACATTTTCTCGATAGAAAAAAAAATCTAAATTTACCTCCAAACTGAACAAGAAACCGCTGGTATTCATAAAATACTTTAAATTAGATCATGAAACGTTGCATACTAACTGAAATAACTATAAGGAAGGGAGGGGCTTATGTTTTTTTTTAATTACCATTATTTTTTACTGTAAAAAGAAATTACCTGAACTTTCGGGGTCTTGAAGCTTGTTTCCTGCCGCCCGATCAATCTCCATCAGTCTTGCTTTTAATCAGAATACATATTACGTAACAGGATGACGTAAAATTAAAATGTTATATAACTGTAATAAAAATAAGAGACGACTGGGTTAGCGTAAAGAGACAGGCATAAATATTATAAAACTAATGAAATAAGTGTCTAACGACCTTTCTACTTACAGTATTAGTGATTACAAACATGACGGTACATAGCATACGACGCTCGGTGAAGTGGGGGCGAAATTAGAATTTGAGCCGACTTACTATATCCCTTTAAAACGAAGATTCCCCCATGTAAGTTGTACCTTAGCCCGTTCTTTGTCAAACCAGAGTTTGTCTTTCGCCGACGCCTCGGTCATCCTTTGTTGCACAAGACATTGCAATGCATCGTAATTAATGGATGTGGATATAAAAATTGAACAATTTAAGTAACTCGGGGGATACACAGTTCGATCGTCGGGTGAGAAGTGTAAGAAGAGTAGTGCCTATCGTTCTACGTATTTATCGAGTTTTTTGACGCATTTCTAATTCGTCAGTGTTAACGCGAGATTTAGGCACAAAGACACAAATAACTAGAATTTGTGGTGACCTAAACGTTAAGATTCATGGTAAACATATAATGCGCGTGGATGACGCCAAAAACCTTGGCATTGCCTTCGACACTAATCTCAGATTTAAAAATCATGTCCTTAATATGGTAAAAAAAACTGTTTATCTGTGTTTATCGCCTACAGTTTTTATACCAAATCAATAATCAACTTTCTGTACCATCACGCATTGCTCTTTGCAAGTTATTGGTTTTGCCTAGGCTCTACTACGGGGATGTTGTTTATGGACCCCGGATTTTCAGCAAAACAAAGCGACTAATACAACGCGTGCAAAATGCATGTTGTCGGTTCTGTTTTGATGTACCTCCCAGAAATAATACGCCCTTTCTAAACAATGCTTCCATGCTCAATATGGACTCACGTAGAGAGCTACATTTAGGGGGACTAGTCTTTAGTGTTATTAAGTTTAAAAAAAAACCAGAGTACTTGCATGCAAAGATAAAGTTTGCTAAGCAAAATTCCGGAAAACAATTGAGGTCCACAAGATCAGCACTCCTATAAAAAGCCATAAAACAGCGGCATTTACTGGCAGTTTCCGATATATGGCAACGAAGTGTTGGAATAACATCCCACCGCCAATAAGAAATCTTAACACCAACTACAAGTTTAAAAATAAATTCAAAACATATCTTCTAGATAAACAAAAACAAGGTATTCCCAAACACTTCATTTGCCAGCTATAAACCATGGCGTATTCTTTTTTCTTTTTACTTTTACTAACTCATGGTTGGCTAAGTCATTTGGTACTAGCCTTAATTGGGTGCGCAGTCTTACACATCTTTTCCGTAATTTTTTACTAAATTAAACCCAAGATATAAATCACAGAGCTGAAAGGACACTCTCTTTCAAGGATCTTTCAGACATAATTACGCTACAATAATATTAACGTGCAAAAATAGTTTTTTCTTTCTTTCTGATTGTACTATTGTGCTCATTTTCTTCTCGCCACCTCGAGGGTAATAGCTGAAAGCTCTCTGCATTAATCGCTGAGCTATGACCCATTTGTTAAACTGCACCACACATGTACATTTAGATCTTAAGTTTATGTATTTTTTTATAATACTCTGATTTGTATATCTAGTTTAATCACTGAATTTACGTGTGTGATTGGAGAAACAAATAAACGCTTTTATCTATCTATCTATCTATCTATCCATCCATCTATGTATCTAACCTTGAGTAAAGACGAAAGAGTACTTATTAAGGAGAGCAAGTAGTTAATTTATCTCAAAGTCATCAATTAAATCAAGATAAAAATTTTCAAAAATAGGTCTATGTGATCGTATATGCATAACAAGAGGTTTAAGAAATTAGGGTAGCACCATTTCTGGTAATAATTACACTTAGACCCGTTTCATGTAGTAAGTTTGCATCAATTAAAACGTCTGAAGTTATTTCGAAGTCGGGTAGTACGTGAAACAAAATCTCTATAGGAATATTTAATCTCTATAGGATTAATCACGCATAATAGCTATTAATGTGCTGGTAGATATAACAGGGAACGAACCTATTACATAAATAGTTCACAACTTGATTCTTATGCCCTGGAAATTAATTCGCAATGGATTTACGCATAATGGAACACTCGGCGCCGCTATCGAAAACAGTATTTATAAGCAAATTACCTACTCGAACATGCACGATGTTTAAGATAGAACTGCGGGTACTATCACTCAATTAATTTATATTAGAAGTTATTTGTTTTTCGCGGCGAAAAAACGACTCGAATGTGTGACCAGGCTTTGAACAAAATGAACAAAATTTACTATCACTAGTTGTAGCTAAAGGCGTCGACCGATTTTTATCAAATGAAAGGACATTAGACTTACTTTTATTACGGCAATTATCAGAAGTATGACCGATCTTTTCGCAAATACTACAAGAAGAACTTCTGTTATCAGAAAAATATTTAAAACGCTTTTTGGGGCG